GTTTTTGAAAGAAGTCTCTTATGCTCACAAAAAGGCTGCATTTATTTGACAAAAATGCTGTAAAAACGGTAATAGTGTGAAATATTATTACAGTTTAAAGTAACTGTTTTCTATTTTAATATATTTTAAAATACAATTTATTCCTGTGATCAAAGCTGAATTTTCAGCATCATTACTCCAGTCTTCAGTGGCACATGATCCTTCAGAAATCAGTATAATATGCTGATTAGCTGCTCAAAAAAACATTTCTTATTATTATCGTCAATGCTGAAAACGAATAGAAATGTCAAATGAAGGATTTATTTTAAACAGATATTTTTTTATAATAAATAAAAAAACTGACACTTTTAATCATTTAATCTATCCACGCAAAATACAAGTAGTAATTTATTTCAAAAAAAAAAAAAAATGTTAGTGTAATTTTTTTTAATGTAATTTGACTAAATTCCGCCATTGACCAATCAGAATCTGAGTGCTGAGCGTGCATGTCTCTACTCAGATGTTCTGCTGTTTGTGCGAGTAGTTTGGTCCACTTTCCTAGGTCTGGCTGTAATTTCGCCCCCTGTAATGTAGCGTGAGAGCATGTGGTTGTGAGAGTGCTTCTGTTTTTAGATGCTACTCTAGATGGAGTATTATTAGCTTCTGTTGAGATCCTGCTGATAGCATGTTTCCCAAACACACACACACACACACAGGAGTGGGTCACCTCACACCAGCGATGAGTCTATTACGTGTGTTTCGTGCCTGACCTCCCCGTCCTCCAAGCCTGGAGCTAACTGAGCCGAAACTCACACCTCGACTTACACACAGAGCCGAGGAAAGCAGAGTTATTAAATGCAATTAAGGAACACAAAAGGCACTGAAAAGCTTTTAGCTGGAGTCTGAGATCAGATGTGGTACTCAATCATTTTTGCCTGAGATGATGCCACATCAGTACATGCGCCGTTGACAGTCTTTTCGCTTGCCTCATTAGTTTTAGTGCGGGTGATTAGCCTTTCTTCACACTACACACAATTCAAATTGGTTTTCCAAATGCAATTTTCAGAACTCACTGTCCGCACTGTTATTTTACAACAAATGAACCCCAAACAGATCTGTCTGTTTAGACAGTGTTGCCAATGTCCAGTAATATACAAAAATGACTGTATTGCATATATAGTGGCCAAAATTTCTATCTAATTCACTTTTGACTAGATTGAATGCCACATGAGAGCTTCAATGAGTAAATTTGAAATATTGCAGTACGTTTGAACCTTGAATGACAAAGAAAACAGGATTAAAATCCAATCCGACAGTTTTGATCAAAAATCCCAAGCCAGGCACATTGGAAAAACCTATTATTTCTGCAAAATAATATTACGCTGCTTCTTGCATGTTTCTCGAGACTTTCAAAATGAAATGTCCAGTGAATGGTGCTAAAAGCGTGTTCAGATTTGGTTCTTGTACAATTGCTGCAGTTCAGAAATGAAATGGCTAGGTTAAAATTAAATTAGGTTAATGCTATATCACTGTAAAAAAAAATCTGTGACATTTACGGTAAAGTACCGGCAGCTGTGGTTGCCAGAACTTCACCGTAAAAAATATGGTAGCAACATTTAAGGTTTTACAGACTTAACTTAAATTCACAATAAAATACCGTATTTCATTAACTGATGTGATATCAATAAACCAACATATTGAAGTAGTAATATCTGTTTTGAACCATTGTAATGCACTGATAACCACCAAAAACTGGTGGTGATGAGAAAGTCACATGATGAACCAAAGCTCATCACAAACAGCTTTTCTACGAGCTGAGGAGGACAATACTTATATATAGAAGGTGCACACAGTGTCATTCACACAGACACTAAACACCATCATGGTGACACACGTGATACTGAAATAATGCAATAACATTAATTGATGTAAGATTAAAACCTAGTGTACACAACTGATAAGAAAAAAACTAAGAAACATGTTATTTCAACAAAAAACATCAAATATGAAGTGTCATGCAGGGAATTCTGGGAGTGTCAATTTACGGTTTTTCACTGTAAATTATACAGTAACTTTTTCTTTTTCACTTCCAAAAACCGTATTTTTTACATTATTTTACTGTAAAATTACATTAAATGTAATTACATTTGTTCACCGTATATAGTATGGAAACTTACTGATAACCAGTTAACAGGTTTTTACTGTAGCATTTTTTACAGTCTTTTACTGTTAAAATCACAATGATTTTTTATAGTGTAGGTTTTGAAAATAACGTAACACGTACCCTAAAGCTAACCGATAGTGTTAACAAAAACAAACGTGAGATAAAAACTCAAAACTGAAGCAGCCATGACATTTTAGCTAATTGCAAGTGCAATGCTGTACCGGATGAGTCACCGAGCAAGTTTACTATGTCAGAAAAGCCATATTTATTGAGCTGAATATGTGAGGCAAACTTCAAAATGTATTAGATAACAAATAAAGTGTTTTGAGGTCATAATGTAGTTCTGTAGTAAAGACGTTTTTGAAAATAAGTCTTTCTTAATCCATAATCAGTTGCATCATAATTTGTGTGAAAAGGAATACAACGTGTTGGTGTTTTACTGCCATTAGTGTTTATCTCAACTGCAACCTGCAGGGAATTGTAAATGTAGGTATGTTTTTGGAGTTTTGCAAAAATGAAGGTGGAGGCACATTTTTCCAATCAGCCTAAAGGTTTTTGCTACTGTACCTTTAAGAGGTCTTTATTCAAGTACCTCCATTATGATCGGCTGACGTTTTTTTGCATGGGAAATCATTAAATGTGTCACTCTGGGTGCCGCTGTGTACGTGTGAAATCATTGTAAATTTCTGCACGTTTACAAGTGTCGAGTTCGACTTCAATTCAAGACTTATGTTGCACTTTCCCAAGTTTCCCAAGTTCAAAATATTTCAAAACATCACTTGTACTGACCTACATAAACAAAACACAATGTAAATTGGCCATCTAAATAGAGTTTGCTTCTAACAGTGTGTTATCTCTCTCCAGCTGGCTGCACGTTTGAGGAAGACTCCGACCCCAGCCTATGTGAATACAGACAGGCACAGGAAGATGATTTTGATTGGCAGCTTGTACGGACCTACAGCTGGCCGCACATGACCTCTGACCTTATACGAGGTGAGTTTTGATGTAATGTGCTGTAATAAACGCTTGATTGTAATAATGAATGTTTCCCATGTTTATCCGTAACTGTAAAACCTAATACAGCAATGCATGTGTCCTTAAGGGATAAAGCAATACCAGAATGCATCGCAACAAGCTCAATGAGAGAGAAAAAAAGAGAGAATATCATTTATAAATATTTTGGTAACACTTTACAATAAGGTTCCATTAATTATTGTTAGTTAATGTATTAATTAACATGAACAAACAATGAACAATACATTTGTTACAGTATTTATTAATCTTTGTTAATGTTAGTTAATGAAAATACAGTCGCTCATTGTTAGTTCATGTTAATTTACAGTGCATTAACTAATGTTAACAAGCACAGCTTTTGATTTTAATAATGCGTAAATGTTGAAATTAACTGTAATCCCTCAAATAACTTTGTTCTTTTGAAAAACATTTGTTTCCCTGAGCAGCTTTGCAGTCTTTTGTAAAAAACAAAAACAAAATTGTGTTTGTTTGCAAAAGAATTGCATATCCCCGAGTAACTTTTTGTTCTTTCACAAAACATTTGCATAAACTCGTAAAAGTATTGTGTTTCCCCGAAAAACTTTTCATTCTTTCATTTGCGTTTACTCTCAAAAGTATTGCGATCTCCTGAGTAACGTTGTGTTCTTTCTCAAAACATTAGCATTCACTCACAAAAGTATTGTGTTCCCCAAGTAACGCATCCTTTTGCAAACATTTGTGTTCTTGTGTATTCAGTAACTTTGCGTTCTTTCACAAAATAGTTGCATTCAAAATATTTGCTTTCAGTGCATCATCAAATCTGCTTCTGTGCTTTCAGTGTTTTTTAACCACGTAATGTTTGTTTTAGGTTTCAGAAATTTAAATAATGATCCTTACAAATATACATTTGATGAAAAGTTTTATTGATGTGTCATATACACATTGTATAGGTAACTTAAGCTTACTCTATTCTTCTCCCAGTTCACCGAAAACTTAGAGGATGAATTTACGTAAATTCCACAGCTCAGACTCTGTGCGAACAAGGCGGCACCCATCGCCCGTTATAGATCAACTAAAATGGTCATTATAAAGGTGTTTAAACTACTAAATACCTTTACGTACGCATATTTGGGAATCGGAATATCAGATATTTCATAATATAGTTAGCACGTTTGTGGCTGTGGTGTGTCATGTGACAAGCATGACGCGTTGTCATGGAAATAGTGCAATACGTTCTAAAATATTGGTCGCCTAAAAAAACTCGCGTTGGGGGGTCATCTAGAATATTTCAAAATCACATGCGAAAGGGTTAAAACCCATGTGGTTAGGAAGTTGCCTTAGAAGGTAGCAACTCACGTAGCCCTATAGTAGCTAACTATGTTTAGGAACAAAGCTTGTGTAAAAGTTAGTGTCTTTGTTCTGCAAACTCCTCATTGAAAGTTAAAGCAATGTGACGTGTAGGCAAGTATGGTGTCCCATTCTTGGAATTTGTGCTCTGCATTTAACCCATCCAAGTGCGCGCACACACACACACAGTGCGCAGCGTCCAGGATTGGGGTTTAGGGGTCTTGCTCAAGGGGTAATGAGTGTGGAAGAGACATTCAATCCCACCACCTACATTTCCTGCCAGTACTGAGACTCAAACCTGCAGCCTTCGGGTTCCAAGTCTGACTCTCTGACCATTAGGCCACAACTGCCCCCTAGTTCATAAGAGGAAATACAAAACTCATCTGTTCATCCTGACCACAATACCGTGTGATTATTAATATGAACCGTTTGATAAAAAAAAAAGAAATAACTATTATATTGTGAGACTGCATATACCATTATTGTGATCTAGTACTACTCACACTGTGATATAAACCGTCTACCCTGGATCTATTCTAGTGACACATAATGTTGTTAACTGGACGTAAGAAGCTTGAAGACAATCTGTGGCACTTTGTGTTGACATTTCTTTGAGTAGCCGTCCAATACTGCACTTATCTGGAGGGTTAAATTCCATCAAAGCTGCTAAAGACACTCCAATTGAGACAACAGCTTAGTTTATTGGGTGCTATTTGCTCAATATTACTGATCCATACTGGGGTATGTTCAGCATGTCAATGAAGGGGAACTGAGAAACAGAGAGAGAGAGAGAGAGAGAGGAAAGGTAGACGGATGTCATGCGGGTCGAACCGAACAGACAGGCTCTGTAGCATACTGATACTCCTGTGAAAAGTCTAGTAATCTTTTGGATTTCAATCAAGTTTCAATTCAAGGTTTTGCATGTTGCCTTGAAAGGTGCACTAATTAAATCTGTTGTGTTTCGCATCTATTAATTACTAATAGTATTCGTATTTCTACTAAAATTATGTTTAAAATTAATGTATGAGATGAAGATTTTTTGATTGAGTAATCAATTAATGAGTAGCAAATGCACCTTGTGTTTCTCCCCTGGCCCCTGGTTGATCAGGTTTCGCCGAATCTATGACGTTTCCCTGATAAAAGAACACAGGTAAAGGGATAGTTCACCCAAATTTAACATTTTCATCATTTACGCACCCTCATGTCATTCCAAACAAGATATACATAGAGTATATCAAATGGAAGAACCAGTGAGGTTTGTTCTTATGCATTAAGCAAATACATTTTTGTATGCACATATTAGACATATTTGATGTGCTCTATGTATGTGAATAAAATCCTTTTATTAATTAAATCGGTTCATCACATAAAGCAACCATGACTCTCAAAGAGATTTGGATTAAACCACTCAAATTTTATGAATTCATTTTTTGATTTATTAATCAACTTTTTGAAGCTTGAAAATTTTGATCGTATGGACTTTCCATGCATGGACAAAAAGGATGAGAGAATATTACAAATATCGGTAACACCTGAAGTTAAAATGCATTGTAATACTTCCTTTTTGCATCTTAAATTGGTTGTTTACCATGTGTTTTAATGCATTATACTTTCTAAAGCTGTAAAACGAGATCATTATAATGTATTATAACTGTTAAGATCATTACATGGTGCATTACAAGACTTGATGCATTACATTCTTTATAATGCATTGCATTTGAAAGCTGCAAGTAAAGATTTACGAAAATATCTTCATTAGTGTTCTGAAGTTTTTATTTGTGGCATGATTTGCAGTGACAATTCAAACAGGACATTACACACATAGATCCATAGAGAATATTTGTACTTTGCACACTGCGAGACACAGTTTATCTATATTAACGTGAAATGTCATTACGTGTAAAAAAAATAAATAAAATAAATCGTATCACTAAAGCATAAGTTTATAGCCCACATTTAAGTGTCTCAAAACATTAAAGTTATTGACTGAAACCTATAATTGGTGTAAATGGAAGTTTCAGCAAGTGTTGCCGATTTCCAGTGACGTGTGCGACAGCATGTTGGTGATATTTAAGTCAACTTTATGCAAATGAACAGCGACGCAGCGTTCTGATGACTCATGAAGTTGGAGACGTCATTCGAGGAGGAACACCTGCTAGCATACAACACATAAACTCCTGAGTGATCTCCAGAAATTGAACGCCACTTAAAATGGACACTGATTGAAGCTGAAGTAATACATTCTGTTTATTGAGAGCACCTCTTTGTTTCTGCTTCAGGTTTTTGCTCTCCAAAACATACCAGATCATTAAAGCTAGACATGCTTTGGATCCGTAACAGAAGTGTATCTGGTCTTGAGTTTAGGGAGCTTGACTTCAAACAGACGGGCGATGCCATGATCTTCCCTCTGCCCCCTGCAGGAACAGGAACATGTCAGCCCTGCTCTAAAACTTTGACATGCCGTCTTTGAAGATCATGTGCAAAAAAGCAAAAAATAAAACTTCGCTAGTGCTGCAGAAATTGCTCTTTGCATTTAAATGGCACATTAGCACGGGCCAATTTTCCCCTTGTTTCCTGACGAGATTGAGATGCTCATTTGTGTTGATGCGGGGAAGCATTGCTGTCTTTGATGTCAAGGTGTAATAAGACAAGCTTTCAGCCTATCGGCTTGTTGCTTCGCTCTTTTCTGACTCTCTTCACGCTGCTTTGTAGTGTGTTGATTAGAGAAATGGATTGAATATATTATTGAAATAAGAGGCAGAGGTAATAAGCTTTAATGGCGGTTCGTTCTTGCATCGGAATGAGAAAACGTTCACCTGTTTGGAGTCATGCTGTGGAATCTCATGAACATTTGACAAACATTTGTTCTGGCACTTTCAGTTTAACTGCTGCCGCAAACTTTGGATTACTACTTTCTGGTCCAACAAGTTGCAAAATGAGCTTGATTTGGAACATTTTTCTAAATTAACTAAGCCCACAATATTAACCGTGTCTAAATCTTGTATAATACAAAAGTAGATAAGACTGAAATGGTGGAAAGTATAAAAGTAAAACTTTCATTTGTTATTGAGTTGCAGTGAGTTAGTCTGTGTAAGTGCAAAGTTTTTAATGGAACACTAAAGACCTTTTCTTGAAGGTCTTTCATTTCTAATGACCTGTGGATTTCTGTAGGGGGTGTATGGAGCCCATGGTGATGCGAAAAATAATAGATGTGAGGACATTTTATATCAATGCTTTTGCGTTCACTTGCAAAACTTTTAGTGTACCCCGGAGAAACGTTGCATTTAAATAATATGAAATCTATATTTCAATGCTTTTGCGAGAGAATGCAGAACTTTTGTGCTTGCCTAAGAAGCTTTGTGTTTACTTGAGGAACCTTTCTTTCCCACCTCATATTGTTTCCATCACAACCGCGGGAGAACATGAAGCTCCTACAAGAAAATACAAAGTTTTTCAGAGGAACGCAAACTTTTTAGCGAGGGAATGGGAAAGAATTGACATATAATTTTCCTCCCATCTAATTTTTCTCCCATCACCATGTCGCCTTCGTGGCTCCATAGAATTGAACGCACAAAGGTTTCCAAAAATGACTTTTACTACCAAAAACTCCAAAAACACCGATCAATGAGAATCCCAGTTGTGTTTCAGAAGTC